GAGAGAGAGAGAGAGAGAGAGAGAGAGAGAGAGAGAGAGAGAGAGAGAGAGAGAGAGAGAGATTTTTTTTTTGATTTTTAACAAAACTTTATTTACACAGTTATCAAAAAAAAAAAGTTTTAAAAACACTAGTAAAAAAACATGATCAGGACAAGCTTAAACTAGAGCGTTTACATTAAAAGCTTGTTGATTGTCAGTTCCTTCTGATCAGAGATGGTGCATAGAACATTTTTAAATCCCCACAGTTTCAAAAACCTTTCTAAATCCCCAGTGTCCCTGTGGAATTGAAACTCCAAGGCCAACCTGGCCCTGACGTTGCACCTCCACAGAGACACAGCATCGAGGTGAGGTCCATCCTGCAATCTGTCCCTGCGAGACAAATATATTGCCATCTTTGCCTCGGCAATTAAAAAATTTAAAATTTGGGACTTGCCTTTAGTGGCCCTGCTGTAAAATACACCGTTGATAAAAACAGATTGGGTAAAAACTGTGTCAAACAGGTTAAAAATCTTTGTTAAGAGGCTAAAAAAAACTGTTAGTCGAACACAATCCATAAAAACGTGAAAAACATTCTCTGGCAAATTGCAAAAAGGACACTCGTTTAAAACCCCGGGACTGATGACAGATAAAAAAGAGTTTGTAGCAATGGCGCCATGAAGGACCCTCCATTGAAGGTCACCAGTCCGTTTTTTAATCGGAGGTTTGTAGAGTGTCCTCCACTGGGGCTTCTGCTTTCCGAACTTGCCGTCCCAGACACAAACGGCTCTGTTGTGCAGAGTCCTCTTATTCAGCACTTTCACGTAGGTTCTGTAGAGTACTTTTTGCCCCGATCTGCATAAGTCCACCTTTGGGCCTGTGTCACGAAGAAGGGGACCGCTGCTGTCCCCGAGGTTAGGAACCAGGTGGGTGTCTGGAAACGGGTCCGTCGGATCAGGCGGGCGACCTTCCGCGGACCACAGCTGCAGGAGGTGCCCCTCTCTAGCAGTCAACCTCTCCCTCAACAGGTCCATGAAGCGCCGCACCAGTCTGGCAGACCGGACCCCGAGCAACGAGGCCACTTTCTGTACGCCGGAGAAGTCTGGTCCGGCCGTCTCCACCAGGCGCCTCAGGGTCACCGTCCCAGACCTGCAAAGCACCGTCGGCAGCCCTGGCACTGTGCTGTCAGAGACGTCCAGTCTCGCTCCACAGACTAACGGTTCTTCTAAAAGCCAATGCAGAGAATTATTCGTTTTTGTTCTGTCGAATTTAAAAGGGGAACATAATTTAAAAACACTCTGATAGAACTTGGGTAGCCCCGTTAGCTGTAAACGGTCAACATTAGTTAGAAACAGAGCCGCATCCAGCCCCAACCCGCTCACTCTTCTGAGGATGCAGCTGGCCACGTCTCTCCACACTGTATCAGCAGGTCCTGCCAGGTATTTTTGGAGGAACTGCATTCTAAAAGTTGCCGTCCTTCTGGCCAGATGGACAAGGCCCTGTCCCCCCTCCTCTCTTGGTAAAAATAAAACCGACTGTGGCACCCAATGCCGACCTTTCCAGAAAAACTCCACCATCTCAGACTGTAGTTGTTTCAACAAGTCTGGAGGTGGGTCTAAAACGGCCAGTTTGTGCCACAACTGCGATGCGACCAGGTTGTTCAAAACTAGCACTCTGCCTCTGTAGGACATCTGGGAGTGCAGCCATTTCCATTTTTGTATTTTATCCTCAAACTTTTCTTTAACGTTTACCCAGTTTTTCCTGATCGCATCGTTATCTCCCAGGTAGACACCGAGATATTTAAACCCGTCTCTCCTCCACTGGAGGCTTTGAGGGAGAACCGGGAGTCCTTCAGGCCACTCACCCACGGCGAGGGCTGTGCTCTTTCCCCAGTTCACCCTCGCAGCGGACAGGGTGGAGAAACTTTCGGTAACTTTTTTTAAAATGTCTACGTCCTTCTGGTTTTTGATAAAAACAACAACGTCGTCAGCGTAGGCGGATAAAACCACTCTGTTGTTAAAACCGGGTGTAATAAAACCACGGACCTTTGCTCGAATCTTTCGGAGGAGGGGTTCCAGGGAGAGTGCGTAGAGCATCCCCGAGAGCGCACAGCCCTGCCGAACGCCTCTACACACCTTAAAAGGAGCACACAAGCTACCGTTGATCTTCAGCACACTCTCAACACCACTGTACAGCACCTGGATCTTAGCTATAAAACCAGCGCCGAACCCGAACTTCCCCATAGTTTCCCAGAGAAAGCCGTGCTCGACGCGGTCAAAAGCTTTTTCTTGGTCAAGTGAGACCAAGGCTGTGTTCAGGCCCAATGAACTGGAGACTTCCAAAACGTCTCGAATCAGATAGATGTTATCTACCATGGACCTGCTGGGGACGCAATAGGTCTGGTCCCGGTGGATGACCTGCTCCATAGCTTCTCTCATTCTGGTAGCCAAGACCTTGGAGAGGATTTTATAGTC